TAGATGAATTGAAAAAATCCACCTCATCGGGAATCGAAACCGCGACCTTCTGGCTTGTAGCATAGTGCCTCAAACAACTATGCTACTGCATGGTCGGAAACTCATCTGGAAACATCCCACTTGGGTATTAAAATAAATTGTAAAGTGATACACTGGGCCATGTTAGGTTAGGCCCTTGTCACCACGGCATGGCACGTCCTCAGGTTGTGGATGGAGGAGACAGCCTCCAGATATGGAGGGTAGCTGCGAATATATTGAATAACCGGTTGCAGATGGCTGATAAGGGGTGGTCCACCGGCTTGAGAGTTAGGCGTGCGGCTAACAACTCATCGTAAAAAATAAGCTTGTAATGAAAGATCCCAAGACGCCTCAGACCTAGATATATTCTTTGGTTAAACGATGTAGGCAACAGAAAATGGACCTCAGATTCGGTACTTGGCATGTTAGAAGTATGTATAGGGCAGGTTCGCTCAGGATAGTGGTGGAACAAATATGAAAATATAAGTTAGATATGGCAAGAGTACTGGAGGTCAGATAGGACAGAGGTGGCACCAAACCAGCAGGCAAATATACATTTTTCTATGGAAAGGGGAATGAGAATCATGAATTGGGTACAGGTTTTTTGTACATAAGAGAATCATATCAGCAGTTAAGAGAGTAGAGTTTGTTAGTGACAGGATATCATATAAAATACTAAACGGTTGCTGGTGTGGTATTGTTATGAATGTTCACGCCCCAACAGAAGACAAAATAGATGACATAAAGGACAGGTTCTGTGAAGAAGTAGAACACGTATTCGATAAATTCCCTAAATACCATATGAAAATTTTGTTAGGACATTCCTATGCCAAAGAAGGTAAGGAAGACATTTTCGAACCAACGATTTGGAATGAGAGTTTACACAATATTTGTAATGATAATGGAGTTAGAGTAGTAAACTTTGCCCCATCCAAAAATCTTACTGTCAGAAACACGATGTTCCTACATTGTAAAGTTCATTAATTTACTTGGGCATCTCCTGATGGGAAGACGCACAACCAAACTGACCATATTTCAGTAGCCAGGAGACGGCACTCAAGTGTACTTATGTCTGATCATTCAGGGCAGTTGATTATGATAATGACCATTATCTGGTGGTGTCAGAAGTTAAGGAGAGACTGGCAGTGAGTAAACTACATGTAACAACGCACGGAGTTCATATGAAGAGGTTCAGTCTCAAGAAATTAAACGAGTTATAGGGCAAAGAGTTGAAAACTCAAATAGGTTCACAGTTTTGGAAAATTTAGACACTGAGGTGCATGTTAATAAAGCTTGGGAAACTATTAGAGATAACATAAAAATTTTGGCCAAAGAGAGTCTAGGTTATTATGAACCGAAGAAGCATAAGCCATGGTTTGATGAAGGATGCTCAAAATTAGTAGACCAAAGAAATCAAGCCAAATTGTAGTGGTTACAGGATCCAAGCAAGTTAAATGGGGATAATCTGAACAATATAAGAACTGAAACCAGCAGGCATTTCAGGAACAAAAAGAGGGAATATCTGAAAGACAAAACTGATGGGCTTGCAATGTACAGTAAGATCAAAACAATAGAGACCAGTATAGACGAATGAATGACTTTAAGAGGAGTCACCAACCTAGAAGTAGCTTGATGAATGATGAGAATGGTGATCTGCTTGCAGATCACCACAACATTCTGAATAGATGGAGGAACTACTTCTCTCAGTAACTGAATGTACATAGGGTCAGTGATGTCAGGCAGATAGAAAAACATATTGCTGAGCCATTAGTATCTGTTCCTAGCCCTTTTGAGGTTGAAATTGTTATCGCAAAGTTGAAAAAGTATAAATATCCAGGTAGTGATCAAATTCGGGCAGAACTTATGCAAGCAGGAGGTGAAATATTATGTTCTAAGGTCCATAAGCTAATTCATTCTGTTTTCAATAAGGAAAAATTTCCCGATCAGTGGAAGGAGTCTATTATTGTGCCAGTTCACAAGAAAGGTGATAAAACTGACTGCAGTAATTATCGGGGGATATCACTGTAAACTTCAAACAAAATTTTATCCAATATTCTTCTCTCAAGGCAAAGTCTATAAACAGATGAAATTATTGGAGATCATCATTTCGGGGTTCGACGTAACTGATCAACTATTTCTTGAATTCATCAGATATTGGAGAAAAAAATGTGAGTACAGTAAAAGAGTACATCAGCTATTTGTAGACTTCAAAAAGGCATATGAATCAGAAGGGATGTGATTTACAATATTCTGATAGAATTTTGGGTACCCATGAAACTATTTTGGCAGATTAAAATATCTAGTGAAAATGTATGGTACAGTCTGTATAGGTAAACATTTGACTGATAATTTTCCCATCCCAAATGGAGTAAACAAGGAGAAGCTTTATTGGCTCTGCTTTTCAACTTCGCCTTAGAATATGCAATTAGGAAGGTCCAGGGAAACCAGGAGGGACTGAAACTAAACGGGACACACCAGCTGTTGGCCTATGCTGATGATGTGGATCTACTGGGTGATAATGTAGATACCATAAAGAAAATGCACAAACTTTTAAGTGACGCTATTAAGTAGGTTGGTCTAGAAGTAAACACAGAGAAAATGAAGTATATGTTGCTTTCTCATCACCAGAATGCTGGGGTAAATCATGGTATAATATACGTAACAGATGTTTTGAAAATTTGGCACAGTTCATATATTTTGGAAGGTCTATAACAAGTCGAAACCCGATGCAGAAGGAAATTAAGAGGAAACGGAATTCGGTTCAGAAACTTTTGTCCTCTCCTCTGCTATCTAAAAACATATAACATAGAATACACGAAACTATAATTTTGTTTTCGGTTCTGTATGGGTGTGAAACTTGACATTAAGAGTGGGACATAGACTGCGGGTGTTTGAGAACAGGTTGTCGAGTAGAGTATTTGGACTGTAGAGAGATGAAGTGACAGGAGAACAGAGAAAAATGCATAATTAAGAGCTTCATGATGTGTACTCTTCCCCAAGTATAATTAGATTGATCAAGTCAAGAAGGATACGATGGTCAGGGCACGTAGCATGAATGAAGCAGAGGAATGCATGTAGGATATTGGTGGGAAAGCCTGAAGGAAAGAGACCCTTAGGGAGACCAAGACGTAGGTGGGTGGATAGCATTAAAGTGGATCGTAGAGAGAGGATGGAATGGTATTGATTGGATTGATCTGGCTTGGAATAGAGGCAGGTGGAAGGTTTTTGTGAACACGATAATGAACCTTCGGGTTCCATAAAATGTTGGGATATTAGCCTGGATGATAATATTAAAATGGAACATAGAGAATTGTTTTACAGTGACGTGAAATGACTTAGGAAGTCACGAAACTCCTGATAGCACGGAATTCAGTTGATGTGGAGCCTAACTCCGGTATCTGCTGTTTATAAAGACTCTGTTTAAAGGAGACGAACTTCAANAAATGGTGTTTAAAATTTCAGTTCCTATTTCACAGATGCGACATGATGTCTGAAATACAAATCCCAGTCACTTTTTCTGTTTAGTGAAATAACTGTTGTTTATTTTGAAGATCACAGAACCCCACAAATACGTGCTCGTGAGATTGAGAGGGGGTGTACAGTAGACGAGTAAAGTCTTGTTCTTATACATATATGTAACCCGTGTTTTTGACTGAAAACTGTCAGCTATTCTAACTTCAGTTTTTTTCTGTTTTATGAGATTTAATCTGAAACTGCCAGTAAATTTGGTATGAGTTTTTCAGAGTAAGTTTTGACGTTTTACCGGCACAGCCAATGTGGCAGGCAAGCAAACCTGTAAGAGGGATCAGCATTAGTGTCTGGAAGTGTCCTACATTCGTAAGATATAGAACCATTACTAAAGTGTATAACTTCTACAAGCGAAAGTTCATTCTCCACATTAGTTTCTTCTTGAGAGATGGCTGAAAAAGAGGAACTCTATCTTATAAGTTTTGTTGTTAGACTTGCCGTTTAAGATGTATTCCTTCCTTATATGCTTGCTGGTAGGAATATATTCCGGTCTAGAAAACCGAGATTAACGGCCGTGGTGTTCCGTTGCGCTGACCACGTAACACCCTCTATCCGCTAAAGTTGGCGCTAACTTCGCCGACAAGCGGCGGTCGCTTGGTCGGTATAGTTCGCTTGTGTACTACAGGCCACGGAGTTTGTTTTGGTAGGAATATATACATTTAAAATAATATTGATTTCCAGAACACGTATGGAAAATAAATATGTGACGGACCAGAATGAAAGACCTTAAACTGAAAATAAATATACTTGTTCTGTTCCATTTATTCTCGAACAGCACATTTACAAAATTGATTTCCGTGTCGTGTATTTCGGAACACTTTGTTATAATGTTAAGAATTAAATTACTTATTTACATTCCTCTCTATTATAATGCGGAAACAGTGAGTATAAATACAGACTGTGCTTGTTGCCTGCTTCATGCCGGTTTGTTGCTTGGCTTACACTTCAGCTCTGGAAATGGAGAGAATATATTCCTCCGAAACGTCTGCTTAATTTCACGGACTACATGCCATTATTACCAGCAAGATAAAAATATTCGGCGTGAACCTCTTAGGAGTATCAACCAGTTAAAGTGAATGGCCGAATTTCTTTAATATTTTATATACCACGGCGCATTTTCAGGTGCCTATTACCTTCGGGTGAAACACCGAACAGCGAGTCACCACGATCGTTTCCTCGCCTAGTAATTGCATTTTGTAATGCATCCGCTTGTTTCAAGCTAAGCAATTTACGGAGTTAATCACCGTTGTTAAATAATCTGTTGACCACATTAACACAGCAGACCTCTTGATTCTTGCAAGCTTAATAATCTCTGAAATCAACACAGCGCTGTTGTAAGATACAATCTCTTGACATAACGAAAATTACAAGTAGAACTACATAATCACCCTTTCTCTCGATGCTCCATACCTTCTACAGCATCTCTAAACAATTAGAAAACAGGCAACCCTTACCTTGAACGCCCTTGTTACATAAATTGTAACCTCCACATGGGTCCACTGTCCTGTGACATTTGAGTCCTCCCAGAGCTCGTACATGGTCTCGGGGTCGTAGAAGAGTTGAGTTGGACTGCTGAGGTAGGCCTGCGATAATCTGAGGTGCAACTTGCAGTCTCCTTGCAACATGTACCAGAAGCGAACGCAGCCCATCGGCCCCCTACGGTCTCGCTCGGACATGCCGTGAAAGTTCACGGACATGAAATAACCGGGTGTAATGCCTGCCTTCTCGAATGACGTGTACACATAGCCATCTGCATCATACATATACAGAATGACAAACAACCACAGCCACCCGTGCTGGTCGCTTTCTTGAAAAAGAACGGAGTTTTTGGAACATGGATTGGCAAGTACGAGTATAAAAATGGCAGCTCAAATGGCACTACAATAACAATGCTGGATATTTAATAAGTGGTTTAGGATGACATTAGGCCAATTCAAGCAGTAAATGTAAATCTCTTGGTGATTTTGTCCTTTTGTACAAAAAGTATAAACGTTTCATTCGTAAAGCCAACTTCCGCGGCAGGCATAACTGGATACAATTGGCAAACCACATATATTTGAAATTGCTAATTGGAAAATAAAACGGGTTGGTGAAGGATTGCTCTACCCGGTTATAGGCAATATACAGGCTGTCCGGATGAAAGTTATCCAAAATAAGATCATTATATCTCAGACAGAATTTATTATACACATTAACGGATTACACCATTACAAAAGGAAACTATCAAAGTTTGTTTCTGCATTTATAAATTTCTCAATAAGTTTAAATGCGGGTTCCCTTGGTGGCACGACAAATATCCATACTTGAAGCATGTTTGCTGTTACCGTAGCCACAGCGTCCCTAATGCGGGCTTTCAGGTTTTGAAGCTCGTTGATCTTAACCTGCTGGACAACGTTCTTCACATAACTCCACAAGAAAAAGTTCACTGGTGTTAAATCTGGTGACCTAGGTGGCCAAACGATTGTTCCACCTGTGCCAATTCATATCCCAGCCATCTCTGTCTAGGTGTTTCCTAACATGGCGGCAAAAGTGTGGCGGCGCTTGCGCGTAAGCCAGGCATGAAAAAAAAAACTCTTCTTTTCCGATGACATAAACCGGATTAGTGTATGAGAAATAGTTTCCGAGATATACATTTTTTATTTTGGATACCTTTCATCCGGACACTCTATACATTTGATACGAAATATCTATCTTGTAGCCTGTAGAGAATGCATTTGACAACGTTTCACTTGTGTAACAAGACTTCTATACGTATAATTCAGTAATATGATGGACAGGAGATGTGTTGGTCATGGCGTTGCTCTATTGATGTGCCTGTGATCTCGATGAAAGTCGTAATTTTTTCAGATATTTTCCCAATAACTGAGGCATTATTGCAAGTTTGATTTGAGGTTTCGTAGTGGTTACTAAGAATTACATTAATTGTCTTCTGAGTTCAGAGGCTGTGCTGTTACGGCCTCCGGAATTTTCAAGGATCAATATACGAATTTTTTACCCAAGGTTGATCACAGGTAATGCCTGGAGGCATAAGACAGAACAGCGCACAAACGCACCACCAGATTTTATTGAACCTTCTTTTACATATCATTACCTGAACTATTCACTGTCCTCCAGTTCCAAACAGCAGACCCTCCGTTCTTGAATCCGCAGGTGTCTACGTTGAAATTACAAACTTCGTTGTATGGGAAGCCTACCTTTGGACTGTTATCTGCGAGACACAAAACCTAATAATTATCTATCTCACTCCTCTCTCTCGCACTACATGTTTCGGCACAAAAGTGCCATCTTCAGGTGCTTATTCGATTTACGTTAAACTAGTTCACTGCATGCCTTACCGTCTTCATATTAAAATAACTAAAATATATATTTATCATATATATTGATAAATATTAAATGTTAAAAATATTAAAATTGTTCAGGATTTTTCATCCCTACGTCGTATCTCACTACGCGAGTCACACCTATCCTCTTCTGTCGGAGCACTCTTTCACTATCGTGTGTGTATTGTTCTTTGTGTTGTGTCTTGCTCCTGTGACTGCGTGTGAGTATAACACACGCAGTCACATGTAGTGCGAGAGAGAGGAGTGAGATAGATGAGTGTATGCACTGGAAGACGGTTGAAATAAATCATGGACTTAAATCAGTGCAACAGGACGCTAAAATATAACAACCTAACAATTATGTGAGATTTTCGGTACTCATGGCGGTGACTATGAGGTTATGCCTGATAGATATTGTCACGGATAACCGGACACGTGACAATTTGGTGTCAGAAGTGATTACGGCCTTAAACACGCCACAGTTGAAGACTTCTTACGAAAATGGAGCAGATATTGGAACTCCTGTTAGCCAAGATGAAAGAGGTAGAGACAGATAGAAAACCCCACCGTGAAGCTATACAGGCACTCACGGCAAAGATAGAGACCAATGGGAAAGCCATTCAAGAACTGGCCAAGATGGACGCTAGCCACAAGGAGAAAATGGCCGAGACGAGGGCTTGGAGAGAATAAATTAGAGCGACTACCTGAAAAGGACGATGGCCTGCCAAGGTAAGATGCAGGCACGTATGGAAGGAGTGGAACCGACCTCAGAGGACATGGAACCTGAGGCAACACAAGGACAGATCCCTAGGGTAGACGCCGCAATGATGCCTGTCGGAGGACCGAGGAAACGGCATAAGGACGCGAAATCTGGCTGCAGGACACTGCCAGAAATCGAAAGAGACGACACAGGAAAAGCGTGGATCCCGGAAGAGATTGGCCGTCGCCGGCAGAAAGACGACCCGCCGTGCGAAAATGGCACGGCAGAAGGGAAAGGTCTTCAGAACGAAACTGACTCAAGGACTTGTGGATCCCAGAAGAAGAAAAAGACCTAGCGGGAAAGTAGTCCAGCAGTCTGCTCCAGCGCAGCTCAGCCACCAACATTCAACAGAAGTACATCGTGGAGTGTTGTTCCGGTGCCAGTTCGAGACCATAGCGGAGCACGAGCTGTGGTCACACTTGAAAAAAATCGACGTCTGCTGCCTGGCCCTAAAGGGCCCTAAAGGACCAGGCAGCAGACGTGCTGCACGGCATTCCAACAAATGAAGAATTGGACACTGTGGAGGTTTCGACTCCTTCCGAAACTGGAAAAGAAGTTGCATACAGAGCAAGAGCCGATAATATGGAGACACCGGCCACTTGAGGTGGTTTAAACCCAACTCTTGAAAGGAAAAACTTGGATGATGATGAGGCACCTCGATAGACTGGAATCTTATTAGAGAGACGCTATGGACTAGCTTCCATAAGGAGGGAGCAATGGTAGCGGGTGGAGAGATGCCACGCACAAAAGAACGAGCCAAAGGGACGACGGCAAGACCGGCTGCAGACGTTACAAGCACAGCATTCGAAAGGAGGAGAAGATAATACACCGTCTGGCTGTTCGGGACGAACAGCCTTAATGGGGGAGTAGTGTGACAGGTGAATGGACTGTATAGAGAAGTGTCACTTCTTAGGTAACGTACTGTCAAGACAGTGCGTGACAATCAGCCCCATTGCTAATCAATATCTAGCAATTCCTAGGTAACGAATTGTTTGAGACAGTTGCATGACAACAGCGCCCATTGAAAGTCAACGGCTAGGTAAACATGTATTCTCGTAGCAACGAGAGAGCCGTTTGCATGACAGCAAGGAAATTGAAATATTCGACAAGTCTGCTGTTTGGTACACCAAGAACCTACCTCAGAGATGTTACACCAGATATAACCAGATAAGAGAAGGCCAGAGCGCAGATCAGTGATCAGAGAGAGACAAGAGATGACCAGAAGAGAGACATGATCAGAACAGAAGCAAGAGGGGAACCGACAGAGTCTTCGCATAGCGCAGTTACAGTGAACATTAGAGTGTAATCTTTGTTCGTAGTTACGAAGTTGAAATTTGAATTCAGGTCGACCAACTCGTAGACAAAAACTGTAATAACGATCCTAGCTCCAGAGTTTAATATAGGGCTATAAACGATTCTGCAACAAATACATTTATAAACTTGTATGCTGAACGCCGAACAACAAATCATTAATAACGTTCACTTAGCTGGAGCTGTTATTATGAAACATAAATGTGTTCCAGAGTTTAATGTGAATTAATTCTTGAACCAATATACTTATTAAATTTGTCACAAATGTATTAAGTTAAAGGTATGAACAGTTTGTTCTGTGTGCTGTACTAATCAAGGCACTGTTTATGTTGTAAGCATGCGTTTCTGAGATGAGAGATTATATTTATTCTACCTCAGTCTGGACTTTGCACATGCGAAAAGAAATAACAAGAACCAGAGATAATAATGGTAGATAAAGGGAAATGAGGGAGAAGGAAACCCAGGCAATGAAAGTAATAATATATAAGAAAACAAAGGTAAATTAATAGAATGGAAACAGAAAAGAAAGGTAGTGTGACTGTTTTTCTGGGACGTTATATTACCCTCGCATTTGTATAGCTTATGGATGCGACGAATGTCACTCGAGCTGAGACCTGGTTTCTTCCAGATCGGGCCGATCACCACCCCAGGCTTCTTTGCCTGTAGAGTGGGTGACACACCATCCTGAAAAGAAGTATAAAGTGACGATAAATCTGAAATGTGAACATTTTGTGATCTCACTCGTGAGCCTAGACCTACGAAATGGAGTTTCACCCAGTCTTATATTTTGGGAAGTTATAATCAGTGATGTAAAGTACGTCATCTACGAGTATATATTTTTTTAAACTATAGACAGCGTTTCGAGAAGATGCTGTAAGTGAAAAAAAAAATTGTTGCAGTCAGGAAGAATTTTCCGTGATCGCATCATGCAAGAAACGATTAAACCCCAAAGCTGGAGGACCACCCCTTGTTGACTGTCAGTGACTGCTTATTCAATATATTTGCAGCTTCCCTCCAAAACTGGAGGGTGTCTCCATCCGCAACCTGAGGACGCGCCGTGGTGTGGTGACAAGGGACCCACCTAACATGGAACATAACCTAACACATAGTGAACTGTTTTATTACTTTAGTTGATTATGTTTTTACAAGGCACTTCCAAGCCTGCAGAAATATGGGCCTTATGGTTTGAGATTTCCACAGTAGGCAAAACTTAAAAATGGTTGAAAGGCTGTCTGATTTGAGTGAAACTCTTGTAACAGAGGATAGTGCTCACTTGATAAGTGTGTGCCAGTGCTGTATCAGACAAGCACACAGCACTGTTATGAAACCCTGCAGAGAATACTCACCTTAGAGAAGGCATACTCGTCATACATCATGATGGACCTGTAATCGAAGTTCTCGGCAAGTGTGTTGACTGTGGACGAGTCATGCGTGGCAAAAGCTGACTCAAAACCCTGCAATATATTGCACATTCACTGTCTAACTCATAAGCTAAGAGAGTCAGGAGAAAGTGAATCCATGAATGGAACATAAGGAGAAAGAAGTACAATAAAACGAATAACTAAAGTCATTACTAAAATACGTCTGATCACAAAGGCTATTCCTCTTCCACCGAGCAGGTCCACTCAATGACTCAAAATACATCATCTTAGAATCTCTGGTATTCTAAGTTTTATTTAGATTTTGTCACCCACTGGGGGCAAATACCATGCTCACATTTTGAACAGAGGACTGGACCATGCTCCTTTTTATTCTTTCCAGTTCTGGTCATAAAATTTCTTTGCTGCCTTACTATTTATCAGCTGGTTGCTATGACTTAGTTGTGCCAGTCATTCTACAGACAGATGTATAAATTGGAATTCTCCTGCCTCTATAACGACCCATAGCACGCACAATACTCAAAGATCTATTCTACACCACAGAAACTCCAACTGGGATGGAATCGAGTACGCGGAACTCATAAGAAAATCGATTATATATTCTATGGACAAAATGTTAATTGAATTGCCGACATATTTTGGAAGAAAGGACAAATTATCGAAAAACAAAAATTCAAAGTCATCTCTGTTCCAAACATCACAACATTGAAGTATATAAGGCGGGAGGTGGAAGTAATATCTTCACCAAGTGCAGACCAAAACTTGTTTCACATATGGGCTACTTAGCCCACAGATTAGGAACCCCAGTAACTGTTAGATAGAAAGCTGGACCACATATTAGGTGGTGTGCAAATAAATCCCAAATTATAATTGTTATTAATACTTTAAACCTTGGTTTGAGCTGTGATAATGCAGTCAGTATGGCAACTGGCTGCAGGCTGGCCGACAGAGGGGTTGCAGTTTGAGTCTCCAGAACTTCCAAACCAGTTCCAGTTTTCTAATAGCCTCCTATACAATGGGTATCAGGGGATTTTTCCCCAGGCGTAAAGCTGCCTGTGTGTGAAGCTAATCACTCTCATCTCCAACTAGTGCCGAGGTCATGAAAACGCGAATGTATACATCTGCTCCTCCATGCATCTTCATGGCGTAGTGCTTAATTAGTTAATCACAGAAACAATTTTTACTTTCTTTTATAAACTGGCTGCTGACGACTGCGAACAACTGGGATAGTAATGCTGCCCAAGTCTGTGCTATTTCAGCAAATTGTTACTCAGCCTACTAATGTTTAATGATTTTATTCCAGTTAAAGCACTTCCAGCTTATCTACGCTTAACTATATTATCTAAGGAAATATGTATTCACAATATCAATGCTTAATAATGTTGTAAAATTATATTCAGCTTATGAATGCTCACCGAGATGATGTTATTCCAGTACACGTATATCCAGCTGTCACGGTCTGGTCGGTTCATCTCGTGCCAGAAACCGATCACGTGCCCCAGTTCGTGGATAACAATTCCGAGGTACCAGCAATGTTGTCCAAGCGACAAACGCTGTTCACCATTCTTGGTGCGTCCCACTGCGGACCAACAGGCCCCACTAAAAAATATGTCTCACTTGTAGACCTCACTACTGATTTGTATTTACCATAATTTCCTTATTTTGAATTAACTGGCAAATTTTGATTACATTTGATATCTGTCACCCACTGAAGGAACTGCAACTTCTGTATATTCTGAATCTCCACTATGAAAGTTACAGACATGGCGAATATGTGAATCTCTGACACAGCAGTGGCATCAGAGATGCTTTCTGAAATGTGTAATGATAAGTCTCGCTAAAATATTACACTTTCGTTAAGGCCACCTTTATGCAGAATGTAAAAAATTAACAGTATGGAAGTCTCGTGGAATTTGGTCTTACTATTCCGATAGACCAAGTACAAATAATAGAACGGTAAACCTTTGATCTTATGTCCATCAATCATATTAACAGAAACTCTGCACAAGCTTAATCACTTCCTTCATAATAACGCCACTTATTTAAGGGTGTGCCTATAGACAGGGTATTGATTGGTGAATGGATTTATTGATCACTTATATACACCACTTGGAACTACAAACAATTACAGCGCAATTGCTAATATCCAAAATTCATAGGTCACCACAATACCCGCTAAGCTTTTATCCAGCCTGCTGTGTCTTCAACAGCTGTTATTTAGCAACGGTTTCTTACAGGGGAGATTATTCAGCCTCCCGAGCTCACGTAGTTACTGTCAGGCAGATATCCTGCAACTTAACTCTTGTCAACTGTCAACACAACTATAGCGCCATCTCTTCTCAGCTTAACTCACAGAGCTCGACTCAACTGCGAAACCTCAACAGAACTCACTCACTCACTCACTCACCAACCAACCAACCAACCAACCAACCAACCAACCAGCCACTTCACTTCGCTCAGCCGGCCTGGGGTCCTCGGTATATAGCCTCAGGGTGGGACCCAAAAGAACACACCATTCTTCTATTCTCGAGCGTGTTTGTTTCCACGGGAACGTGTTTACCAAGCCTTTGCTTAGAAACGGCTTACATAACCCCGTTGCTCTATTGTTGCTTGAGTGTACGTATGTCATCTAACAACAGCTGCTCTTTACAGGGTCACCGCTTAGCATCGGGTTTATACGCCACTTAACTAACATACCTGTAGAACTAGGACCAAGATAGGAGCTATCAGTTCATCTATGAACTTATTGTTAATGTAACATGGATGGCCAGAGCGTTGCTAGGTAACGGGCTGGTAAACACATGCAATTCACCCTCGCAACAATGGAACAACAAGGTTATGCAATCCGTTTCTAGGCAACGGCTCAGTAACTAGACTTCCACTCGGACGTTACACTGTAACAGTATTGTTACGTGACTTATTTTCTGTGGTCGGTGCGGAGGCTATATCACGACATTTAGAGACAGATCAGATGGCAGTGTTTCAGTATCTGAGACTGTTTGAGTGTGTTTAAGTAACAGTAAAAGTGACAGCAGCGGGAAGTTTGGACAAAACCTGTGAAGGTTTAAAGTGTGATTTGAAGACCTTAATTATGTGCAGTATTTGGAGTGATTTTATGCGCTAATTTCTGTGTTGAGGTATGTTATGCGGAGAGAACTAGTGTGTGCGTGCAACAGTAAATTATGAAGTGTGTAAATCAGCTAGAGCACTGTAATTTGAGTGTAATTAAAAGAGTGTGTAACAAAGCTGCTAATAAATCCAATTGTCCGAGCTAGAACCTGTCATTCTCATCATGCGTACCCCCCTACACAACATTATTAAATATTATCAGTTGATAATAGGCTTTATACAAGGATTATTCATGTGGCATGACATTCAAACTGTCTGCACATTGGGCACAACTGTCATATTACAACAATGAGGGCTTCTCTTTCCTTGTGTCATAAGGAAACACATTGGTGAAAAGGCAGCAACGTGGTCTAGAGAAACTGCCCATCAGCAACTGAATGCTTGAAAAATAACTGCCTCTTTATATCTCATATTCTTACATGTACACCTTCTGTTATGCCCAAATATAATTTGTCTTCCTTTTTTAAAACTCTGCTGCAGCTACAGTCAACATTGCAGGGATTTTCTTTTTCATTCAGATTGTGAAATTACTCCTGAAGATATGTGGCAATGATCGATTCAACCATGGCTTTCCTGGATTTGACTCATTTTTAGTCTTCATGTGACTGGACATTATTCATTCTTCTGTCTTTAAAGATCAGTGGTGGGTCCTGGGATTGAAGCCAACAGGTTCTGAACAATAGGCTGGCACTACCCTGACAGTAACACAAAGTGCGATGCTCTGGGTTTCAATGGCCTGTACTTTCGTAAAAGTCCAAACTCAAAGTCACATTCCAATTGACAGTCAGTCAGTCGAGCCCTATCTGGGGATCATGACCAGATATTTCTTTGCGTTTGTAAGTTACCGTTCTGTCTGTGGGTTGCCCTCCCTGATGAGAGAACAGGTCTGTCGTTCGTCAGATTCGCAGTCAGCAATATTATGTCAACTGTCAGTATGTACAGTTATTTACGTTTACTTGTTATTACCTGTGTGTATGTACATGAACTATATATACAAGGCCTCTGACAGTCCAGGCTCAGTACCAGTACCTTCGTCTACAGTGGCAGTTCAAGTTAGTCACTTGCTTGACTGCCACCAAGTTTAAGCCTTTATATTTCCTCGCCTTGACCAATGTTGCGAACATTTCCATTTTCATGATTTTGTATGACTTCTTGTTGCCTGAATAATTTTGTTATATAATTATATATGTATGGAAGTTTGGAAGCCATGTGTAAATTGCGAACAATAAAAGTTATCCTATGTTTCGAAGGAATTTATAGCCTCCATTTTCAGGTTAGAAAATAGGACAGACATGAATCCAGCAATGAGCAGGCTACAAGAGAAGCATACTTTGATGCTTTTTTCTTTTTAATATATGATTTTATATACTTACATACATGGCCAAATTAGTGATTTTATATAGTAGCTAGATGGTTACAAATTTAAAAATTAAACTTCATACAGCTTCATTGGTTTTGTATAAGGTTTTGAGTACTCACAACTTAAGATAATCTTTAGTGACCCAAAACATGTAGAGGAATTGGCCTCATCTGTAGATATGAAGTTTGTGTGACGGTGTAAAATACTCATTTACAGTTTACAACAGTAGAATAAAAACATCATGAAAATATTAGTATGTTTGATAGGAATCAATTACAAGGGAAATGGCCTACAGGACAACACAATAGCACTGAAATACACAAATGTGTAGAACTGGATTAGAACCCAGGTTCTCAGTGTTTGAGTGGTACAAGCCTGCAGGGCACTGTATGCAAAATCAGAATTGTATGCCAAAAACACATTTCATATACGGATTTGAAGTTCTGTCACTATTTAATGGCTTACGTTACCTATCAGGATTGAAGAAAATGTTGACATAATTCTGTTCTCCTGTCCATTCCTTGAACCGGATACAAGAATGCTGATGGTAATGGTCCATTGCCTTCATTAGAATCTGGCACTGTGGAGACTGTGGGCAGCCTGAGGCATACGAGCACATCCCATCAGAGAATGGAAATATGTGTTAATTTTGTGTTCCAAAATAACATATTTTGAGACAAGATTGCAATTGTGAAGAAAGCCATCTTCTGGGATGTGGCCCAGTGTAGAAATTGTTTTAACCGACGTTTTGGAGGAACATATCGCCTCCATCTTCAGGGAAGAAGACAAGAAGAAATCTGTGAGCGAACCAGCAGAGCAGGTGCAACAGAATGAGTCCAGCCGAGTAAACACAGCTGAATAAGAGAAGGAGATAAGGAGTGTGGCTACATAGGGAAATAGGGAGGGGGAGGGAAAGGGTCTGGTGGAATTAGGGTCTGCCGTATTTCAGAGGTTACTTGAGGGAACAGATGAGAGGCTTTTATGACTTGCTGAGACAAAACCCCACCTCTCTGTCCATATTGTCGGGATGGAGTTCAATCTCAACGGCCTCCCTAATGATGCGATCCATATAACGGGTCTTGGTGGCGAGGGTGGAGGTATTCTGAAGCTGAATGCGGTGTGTTCAACTACAGCTGACTTGTGCGGATGTTCGAGACAGATGTGCCGCTGATGCTCCTTCAACCTTATGTCCATGGAGCAGCCTGTCTGCCCAATATAGACCTTGCCGCACTCGCATGAGATACTGTATACACCCGGTGTCCTTAGTCCCAGGCTATCTTTGACTGGCCGGAGGAAACTGGATAATTTGTTTGGAGGCAGACCCACTGATTTGATGTTGAGCCGGGACAGCACTCTACTGATACGGTTGAATATAGTCCCAACATAAGGCTGGAAGGCGACTGAGTCCGGTTTATCTTCAGGCCGACTGATGTTTGGCCGATGGTTGAGAACTCTGTGGATCTGCCAGTTGTTGTATCTGTTCTGCCTGAAAACATCCCCCAGGAGCACCAACTCCACAAGTAGGTTGTCTTGATCACATAGAGCTCTAGCCCTGTGCACCAATGCGGAAAGTGCAGCTTGCTTATTGGAAGGGTGGTGGTGGAATGCAGCGTTGAGGTAGAAGTTTGTATGGGCGGATTTGCGGTACACACTATGGCCCAGAGAACCGTTGGGTCTCCTGTAAATATCTATATCCAGGAATGGGAGGTGGCCCTCAATTTCAGTCTCCATTGTGAACTGAATGCACTGGTGGATACTATTTAGGTGGTTCAGGAAGTCCAGCAGACCCTTCCCCTGCCCCTCTCTACTATTTCCCTATGTAGCCACACTCCTCTCCTTCTCTTATACAGCTGTGTTTACTCGACTGGACTCAGTCTGTGGCACCTGCTCTGCTGGTTTGCTCGCGGATTTCTTCGTGTCTTCTACCCTGAAAATGGAGGCGATACGTTCCTTCAAAACGTCGGTTAACACAATTTCTACACAGCGCCACTTCCAAGAAGACGGCTTTCCTCAAAGTCACTTAATACCTTAAATCTTACAAGATTGTAATTAGTTTTCCTTTTTGTAATTTCATTATTATAGGTTGATGTCATGCACACACAACATTTCAATTTAAGACAGGAGTCAACACAAATATAATTGCGGGAATATTACACAACGGATCAAAAAATCCTCTCCATGTCACTAATTTTACTTAATCTGTATATCCTTGTAGGAGCAGGATTTATCCTCACCACGTCGCCCAGACTGGCTCTGAGGCAAATTCTGCCCCTTACCCACTGGATAACAGGGCCATTTTCTCGGGTTAAAGCGATCGGGGCTTCTAGCTGATCATTCACCTCCAATTAGTGCCGAGGTCAAGAATACGTGACCTATACATCCACTCACCCAAACGTAAAGCACAGTGGCTTTATCTTTCCTAGGGACCAGTGCAAAAATAATATGGTTCCACTTTAATACACTTTTTAAAACCCTAAAAAAACTGTTAAAACTCGTATCAAACCACACCGCGGCGTGGCTCCATTTTGACTGTAACAATGTAACTGCTCATTTGAGCTACACCGCTCTTCCACCAGTACACTGGGCAATTCGTTATATGCATGGAAAATGCAATACTAAATTTCAGCCAGAACTGGAGGAGAATCGAGATAGTTCAGTCGGAATAGCAACTGGCTACGAGCTGGGTGGACAGAGTTCGATTTTCGTCAGGGGCAGGAGACTTTCTCTACTCCAAAGCGTCTAGACTGGCTGTGGGGCCCCAAACAGACTTCTATCCCATGAACACGCGGAACGATCCCCCGAGTGTAAAGCGGTCGGGTCCTGAAGCTGACCACTCGTATGTGTAGTGTCGTGATCGAAAATGATCTTCGTGGCGTGATGTTTAATTAAGTATTGACACATCTTTAGCCTGGTGCCCAATGTTTTGACCATTCTCTAGTACTTAGAAAAAATCTTCTCATTTTAACCGAAGGGACAACTAGCAACTTATATGAGGGCAAATGAAGCTGGGATAGAAAGTGGAAAAGGTCGCAGGCCAACCCTCGTTAGACTACATGTAAGCATATTTTGATGTGTTTACGCTTGTTTAAGTGACAATGTTAGGTAGTGTCGAATTTGGAAGATTTGTAAGAGACGAATTGCAAATAACGTCGAGGAAAGTGATCGTAGCCTATTTAAAAAAAAAAAGTAACTGGATTTGTCTTGAGAGACTGAAGGAAACCACCTCAGCCTGGACATCCTAACTTTGGATATAGATCTGGACTCTGGACCTGCTGAATGAAAAGTTTGAGAATTTGATACAGAAATGAGATATCTACGATGGTTAATAAAAGGCCTTTTCCAGAAAAGCGAGTCAACTTACCGACATCGTCTTCTGTCCTGTATACGACTGTTCCATAAGGCCACAGGAGTTCCTGGTCGGCAACTGCGTTCTTAAACTGTAAAATATACAAATGTATATAAATACAGAATGATCTGGAGGCCAGATTATACCGAAATACAACGGATGTTCAGGCACACATAACTCTTACTATTCGTATTCTTCATGAATAGCACACAAAAAGAACGAAGTTTTGGAACGTCTGACGGATATAGAGAGAGGCAGTGGAACCTATATTACTAAATGGAAAAAGGAAAAATACTTTTTGTTTCTGTTTTAGAGACACGACAGCCATTCAGTGGTTGCTTGTGCATATTTTTTCTAGTGAGGTACACCTACAGCAAAATGTATGAAAACTGCAGAATTCTTGTACTTTTAAATATCGTTTCATGTTGGTAACAGGGGTGTCAGAATCATTTATGACAACTTTAATACTAAGAACCACATGTACAACCTCTCACACAGTTTTCATAAAATGTACAATATTTGTAAATACAGTATTGACGCGGATCTTATGAGAAGATTCGGAGCAAACCACTTCTGTAAATGGACGGAAATAGGTTACTTCTATATAATATTTCAGCATCCTGTTTTACCAGTTAACGATTTAATTTAAGGTGCAACTTCTTATCATCCCCTTAGGCTACTGTAGTACTATCTTATTACTATTTACAAGTGGTACTTATACGACGTGTTTCGACCTATAAAGTCGTCTTCAGATAAATACATTTAAGTAATCATTATGCAGTATTAGCTTTTCCTAAAAGTCGCTTAAAATTAGTACAAATTATTTTTTAATTATCCTGAGAGTAGTTAAAACATTATTTTTCCAGTTGATACTCCCTGTATCTGGGCATCCTTGGTTTCTTGGATTAAGTGCGAGGTCTTGTTATGTTGTATGTGAATGCTTAACGAGAGCTCATGGCCAGTCTCTGTCTCTCGGTCTGCCCTGACATTTCAAAGGATTTTAACGAAATGTTTTTCTTGGATCAGTTCATTTTATTATGTATATTGTCACTTGGGGGGGGGGTTCTGATTCGGACTATTGGATTTATTAACAGCTCTTGTTACAGCCTCTTTCTTAATTACACTCAAATTACAGCGCTATCACTGATTTACATGCAACTCATAATCCACTGTTGCCCTCATGCTCTTGTCCTCTCTGGTTGACGTATCTCAACACAAACTGTCACTTCAAATCACTACAAATATTACACATAACTAAAGTCTTCCAACCACACGCCAAGTCTTCACACGACGAACTTCCCGTGGCTGTCACTTAAACACTCAAAGTCAAAGCCACATTGCGACTGACGGCCAGTCAGTAAGTCTTGATGTCGAGCCCCATATTTATTACTCTTTGCCAGTTACCGTCTTGGTTTTGTGGGGCGCCCTCTCTGACTAGAGGACTCCTTTGTCTTTTGCATATGCTGCTGGCCCTTGCCAGCGCAGTCTTTTTCGGGTCCGAGTCCCTTGGGACTCGTGACCATATTTTACTGTCAGATTTGAGACTTCCTTTTTTGTCGCCTCTTCCGACTCGCAGGGTCACGGTGGAGGTATTCGCCCCCGCCTCCACACGGGCAAAACACTCTCAAATACTACTCAATACTTCCAAATAATGCTTGGTTATTCCTGGAAACTCATTATAAAGCCTTCGCACTGACCACGCAGAAAACAGGCTATGTTTTTGGAACGTGTTTACCGAGCGATTGCACAGCAATGGTCGCGGCACGGACTCCATAAAGTAGCCAATTTGATAGCTACCACTGTTGCGGTGTGACATCATTGCTCCTTCGCGGAAGACTGCTTGCTGAACCGTTGCCTAGAAGCGGGTTGCATAACTTCGTTGTTCCACTGTTGCCAGCGTGTATCGCCTCGCGAGGTGTTTAACGGTCAGTTAACGCTGTATACATCCAGGTTACAGTATATTTACTATGAAGACTGTTTTTTTATGATGCAGAAACTAACTTTACCGCATTTCCTAAAATCGGCATTAGAAGCAGGCAGGACTCTTTCTGTAATAATTTTCGATGTGGCGTAATTTAAGCCGCAAAGAAAATAATTTTAGCCTCTACGCAGTGCCATATCTCTGCTGATTACTACCGTCATGAACAGCAGAATTTCATCTACCATAAATGAGGATACGATGAACTGGCGGATGCAGATTTACAAAGAAGGAATTTCTATCTATCTATCTCTCTATCTACGGCTGTACAGTCCTTTGTTGTACCTTGGCCACTTTATTCACTTTCGTGATATTTTTACACGGTCGGTAGGACTCCTACCTTCACACAGGACAGCAGAATCACAGAATAAACGCACACAGACATCCATGCCTCAAGCGGGTTTCGAACCCACGATCCCAACGTTTGAGCGGGGGAAGACAGTTCATGCCTTAGGTAGGCCGCACACCGGCATGCGTTAAGACATGTAACAGCCGAGACACGATGTCTGCGACATGACGCAAAGAAAGGAACGCAGATGAAACAAATGAGATTATGAAAACCGCCGCACAACGGTCAGAGTCATGATGCTGACGTCATTACTCAGACCGGTCAGACATGTCTTGACTGTTATATGTAGGGCCCGGAATTTTATGACCTAAAAACTATAAATATATGCATGCACTTATGACCCAAAATTATGTCAAATATGACCTAAAAAGTGTAAAATATGACCTTAAATATTAAATGGGACATAAAATTTCACAATTTTAATTAAAGATAAGAATAAAATAATTAAGAATAAAATTAAGAATAAAGATGATGAATATATGATAGTAGGTCCTACTTACCAAATTAGCCCTATTATGTCTCTGAAGGAAAGAAAACTGATGGAATTTCGACATTTCGTACTGGATTAAACCATTCATTGCTTTCTTTTTAATACTGATATTTGCGTTCATATTTTAGACAAACACTGGTGCACATGGTATGAACACTAACTTAACTCTGTTATCTAAAAACACCATTTAAAAGAACACAAGCTATTCACGTCTCAATTTTCACTGAGTTATTCACGTCTCAATTTTCACTGTTACAATTGCAATTTATAACTACATGCATTTTCAAATTTTCAAATTTGAAAGATCGCCGATTATCACTAAGGATAGTTTTGTATTTGGAAAAACTTCGTTCCACATCACATGATGTGACAGGAGCATATTTGAAGAATGTCAAGTCGTTTGGTGACAGTTCTGTATCATCTTCGAATGTTGCTAGTTTACCGGAAAGTATATCTGCAATCTTGCATAATGTTGAATAACCAGCATTCCGATGAAGAACACTTTCTATTTTGGTTTTAATCCTGTCACTTATTTCACCACGAGTTCGGTTTAGTTCATTCTCAATGCTCTTTACAGTGTCCAACGTGTCACAGAGTTCAGTCACTACAAATTCCAGGCGAGTTATTGCACCTGAAATTGAACAGAAGTTTGACTTTATGTATGCCAGATTTTGTGCTAGAGTGGTAGAGAATAAGTCCTTGACAGCTTTAATTGATGTTGACTCACTGCTGTCAAAGCCATTAAACATTTTCTCAATGGCTGTGTAATTTTCACAATAATATGCCACAGCATCCAACCATGTACCCCACCGTGTGACGACAGGCTGTGGAGGAAGTGGCAGTAGAGGAGCTTCTTGTTTAAATTTCTGCACTCGAAGAGGGGCCTTGATGAATATTTTCTTTCCGTTTGAAACTAGCCTATCTACATCAGGAAAATGTCCTCGAACTTCTTCAGCCACTCTATGCAATGCATGAGCGAGGCAAGTAATATGGACCATTTTCGGGTAGAGGATTCGAAGTCCTTTGGCAGCCTTCTTCATGTATGGAGCGGCATCTGTTACTAGGAGAAGGACATTATTTCGCTGTATTCCATTTGGCCACAACAACTTCATGGAATTATCAAATAGGACAGCTATAGTCGAATGATTTGCTCTTTCGAGAACTTCACAGTCAAGAAGAAATCTCTCTCCAGGTTGATCTTGTTTCAGGGTCCCAACTATAACATTCGCAATATACCGCCCATCTACGTCAGAAGTCTCGTCCAAGGAAACCCATATCTTGTTGTCAGCAACAGATGTTCGAATCTTATTTAACATATCTTCATAACATGTAGAAAGATAATTCTTTCTTAACGTCGATTCACTTGGGATAGGATGACTAGTGTATGTCTCCAAAAATTGTCTGAAGTGCTGATTATGCAATTTCTCTAATGGAATATTCGAAGATACCATCCACTGACACAAATCGTTCGAAAATTCCGACCCATTGTTCGTTGAAGAAGGAGAAGAAGAAGAAGAAGAAGAAGAAGAAGAAGAAGAATTAGTGGAACTGTTTTTAAACAACAAACTTTGTCTGCTATCCTTTGTAGATAATCTGCTTAAACATTTACCATGTTTAAAAGTTTTACAATGCTGCTGCACAGTAAATCGCTTTTCTGCCGTAACTTTCACGCCACACAACTTACAATAAAATATCTTGCCATCGGTACTAAACACTTTATCACCAAACTCCTGTACAAAACTACGCAACCTTGCGCTCCTTGAACTACATGTACTCACTTTAGGCATTGTAAGGTCAAACTGAAGTCTTATAACGCCCTCCACATATATAAATAGAATACTTCTAAGCCCTCCAAGAAAGAATGGGATGTATATACCTTATAGTAAGACGGAGTACAATAGGAAAATACCCGTTACACTTGCCTCCCTCCCGCCTCGACTGGGAAAAGCCGGCTTGCCAGGTCATAAATGCTACATTTCACAAATTTTCGCCTTTGTAACTGCAAGTACAGTCCAGTCAAAAATATGGTTTTTAATACGAACTTCATGTACTTGAACTCTATTCCACATTGAAGCAACAGTCCAGCCTGGAATTTATTTTGTAATACTAAACATTATGGAACCGAAATTTTACATTATATCAAAGAATTGTTTCTAAAATGACAAAAATATGACCTTATTTCAAAATTATGCCAAAATATGCTGTAAAACCAATAAAACTCTAAAATATGCATTTATATGCACAATAAAAACGACATAATTTCGATAAGAATGACTGGAAACATGCATAATTACATTTAAAAATAGGAATAAACCCTAGGAAAAAAATATGACATGTCATAGAAATCCGGGCCCTAGTTATATGTCTTGTCGCGTGCCGTTGTGCGCCCTACCTTAGACCGCGCGGTCTCTGTGACAGGTGAAGGCATTCCACTTAACCAATTTATTGGCTCATACCTCACTGCAGGTACCTGTAATTAAGAAGCATAGCCAGCTAATGAGGTATAGAGAGAGAGAGAGATACTTACGTCCATCCTGGGTAGAATGTCTCCTTCAAAGAAACCTTCGTTGTATAGACCCGCGTCAGTGCCCGGCCCGATTGGATAGAATTTCCCTTTCAGCGGGTTGGCCGTGAGGAGAGGAAAAACTGAGAGCAGGTACGATATTTGTAGACTCAGTATCACACATGTTTTGAGCTTCATATTTGTGTTAAATTATAATTATTAAATAAAATCGGAATAATTATACTACTAACGAATATCACGATTGGCTTTCATTTATAAATATATGTACCAGACTTCGTCTTCGTCTACACTTGAACACGTCCTGTCGTGATTTCTCACAGGATCTTGCGTATTTATACGTCTGACCATGCGGGAGCACATTTCGTACGAGTGAAACTTTGGTTCGATGAACTGTTTCAAACTTGCATATTAATAGCAAGTTTTCCCAACCCTGATGGTTGGCATGCAGAATGCAGGAATAAAATTAACGAAATTAGGTTAATTTATTTATAACACTTCCTCGCATCGCTCTGAATAGGATTGTATTATAATAAGTGTTAGAGTAAGTTGTAAAGACGTGACTGCGCGGGAGTTTCGCATAAATTTAGACATTACAGCACCTAATTGTTGGTCGTTTGCATACTTGTGGTTTAAAGACTTGGTTACCTAACTTATTTGCATTATGCGTCACTTCTATAGAATCTCGGAATAGACATACGTAAAGGTGAATCTATTTTGACAGCCATGCTCGCATCCACACTTGTACAAAATATTTTATGAATTCTTCACCACCAGAAAAGACAGAACGCTAGTGAGCTTTAAATCTCGAACATGTGATTTTAGGAGGCTAAAATATGGTAGCATGTAGAGCCATTTCTAGGCAACGATCTTAAACAGGTTCCCGCGGAAAGAGTTCATGAGCTACAATGGAGGTACTGTTGGAAACGATGTTT